TGAATTCATTCATGCACTCTTTTCCTGGTGCACGAGCGCCTCCCTGTGGACACTCGCGAGCCCCATGTGCAGATGCTATAGCGTTATACAACCAGCGGGGGGCGGTAGACCTCGATGCCCAACCACATTGCTAACCAGTCGCACTCGTACACATTAAAGGACTAGGAAACTTAGCTAGCCATACAACATTTCAAACAAGGGGAGGCGACAAATAAGGAAAACAAAGGAGTTTCTAATCCAACCGGACATAGCTACATTGCCGTTAGCTGTTCAAACACATCGGTGGAGAGTGAAAAGATCGAGTTTGTAAGGTTTGATATTGTATTTGTCATTTTGATGACAATTAGCTGGCCTGCCTACATTGGCCAATGGTAGCTAACGCCAGGCAGTTAAGTTAGCTGACTAGAGTAGCTAACGACGTTAGCCAGCTAGCGGAGGCCTGTCAAAGCTTTCGCGTATAACGTTATTTGTTAGCTAGCGTTAGCCTGGCTGGTAACTACTCAGTAGGAAGTTAGCTAGCTAGATATTATCTAGCTAGCTGCTACACACGAGAAGTTAGCAAGATCTTGAACGCAAAAAACTAGCAGAATCGCAAACTTATCTTGAACTAGAGTAGTTAGCACGGTAGGTAGCTGGCACTGTTGTTAGTTGGCTAGTTAGGTCAATAGTTGGCTAACTAGGGTTCTAGCTATTTAGCATAGCCAGACAGCGTTGCCGTTGTGATAGCTAAATTAGCAAGCGAGCTAAATAGCTAGTCAAATTTAAAAGCTTGGTGTGTATTTAGGCCATCCGTATGGACCACAATATGAGCTAACGTTAGTTAGCAGGCTGGAGGGGTTGCACGACTATTGATGGACACGGATTGAAATAGTCTGATAATGAAACTAAACTAATTTACTGGCTAACAAGGTAACTACCGAGTTATCAAAATGTTAGAACTAGTGGTTTCTTAGCTAACCAACACGAAATGATATTGTGCGCAGACGCTGGCTGACATCTTCACCACACACCCTATTGTATTGTGAGGCTCCATAGCATGGATGACGAGGGCGGTTCACTGCGCTTGCTTATGCTAGCTAAACTAAATTAGTAATGAGGGGTTGATGCAAGAATGGTTTATTGTGGTAGTACATAGCAAGTTACCTAACTACCTATGCATTTGTGAACTGTCTTCTAACTAGTTAGCTGCACTACGTCATTTTCCAATTTAGCTCTCCAATGCTAGCCCGTGCTCGTTATGAGGGACCAGTCTAGCAGGCTACCAGAGTCGCTCGAGTTGCATGTACTATTACCAAAATCATCATGGAAAAGTACCATGCAATCTGCAGAGCTACAATTGTGAATTAGTTATTCCCTATCTAGTTAATACTTAATAAACAGCCGTATACATTTTAAATCTGTTTTGTCTGCTGATCCACGTCATTCTAATAGCTAAAGGGGGTCACATTGGAGTAGAGCAAAGTTGGCCAAACTCTGCCTTGTTGTGGTCTCCCCTGGGTGCACGTTTTGTTTTTTGCCCTAACTACACAGCTCATCAATCGTTGATTATTTGAATCAGCTGTGTAGTGGCCCCAAGACCGAGTTTGGGAGCCCCTCGAGTAGAGAAGTGCTGCCTACATGAACGAATATTAGCCTGCGAGTGAAACGCGGATTGACCACCTGGTTAAATTGAAAGGTGCGCTGAGATTAATAATATCGAATTAGCCAGGGAAACTCAGCGTTCAAACCGGGGGCAGGTAGATGTCAGCCTTCAGTGCTAGTTGGTTATATTCTTGGCTCCAGTGTGGGGTTCTAATTCTAAATGTAGATGCCAAGACATAGGTCAGAGTCTGTGCCAGAGTTTGGGTTCACAGGTCAGGGGAAGATCCCATTTGGAAACAGGTTGCCAAAGCTGACTGTCTGACAGACATACAGACCGGGCTGGTACATCACCTTCTGTCTCACACATTATCCACTACATTCTGGCAGTGGTGTAAAGTATTTGTGTAAAAATACTAGTATTACTTAAGTAGTTTTTTGGGGTATCTGTACTTAACTTTGCTATTTATATTTTTGACAACTTTTACTTCACTACATTTCTAAATAAAATATGTACTTTTTACTCCATTTCCCTGACACCCAAAAGTACTTGTTACATTTTGAATGCTTAGCAGGACATGAAAATTGTCAAATTCACACACTTATTAAGAGAACATCCCTGATCATCCCTACTGCCTCTGATCTGGCGGACTCACTAAACACACATGCATCGTTTGTAAATGATGTCTGAGCCCCTGGCTATCCGTAAATAAAAATTAAAACAAAAAACAAGAAATTTGTGCCATCTGGTTTGCTTAATATAAGGAATTTGAAATGATTTTTAGTTTTGATACTGAATTATTATATTTTAGCAATTACATTTACTTTTCATACTTAAGTGTATTTAAAACCAAATACTTTTTGACTTTTACTGGGTGACTTTCACTTTTACTTGAGTCATTTTCCATTAAGGTATCTTTACTTTTACTCAAGTATGACAATTGGGTACTTTTTCCACTACTGCATTCTGGGAGTAACTTCACTGGTCTTGACTGTACACATAACATTGCTATTGGAATCCACGCTGTCTTTCGATAGCTAAGGAACGCTCAACTCCTTTCTCATATATCAAGGCAGAGTTGAGTATTGATAACAGGTCGCGTGATTTGCTAGCAACAACATTGAGTCCCCATCAATCGATACTTTTATCGAATACAACCACCTACGTTCCTAATTTGTGTTGCTCGGCGCAAATGCGTTTGTGCCAATTGGATCTCAGTTTATGTAGTATTTAAAGGGCGCTACATCTCCAGTTAAGTAAAACAAATGAGGAAAAGGTTGGTGGTTGTATTCAAAAGTTTTTATTAAAAGTATGAATTTCAGTACCCAGCGGAAGGACCGCAGTTAGGTACAAACTTAAGTAGAGGTAGGTGTTTTAAGAATTACAATTTTTACTAGTATCAACTGGTGGTGACTCAATGTTGTTGCTAGCAAATCACACAACCAGTTATCAATACTCAACTCCGCCTCGATATGAGAACAGTGTTGAGCGTTCCTCAGCTATCTTTGGACAACCTGCATTGTCATGGCTGTTTGAAAATGGGGGACATTTTAAGTTGGTCACCTTTCTGCACCGCCCTGTGCAATTCTACACATTTTGCCATGGGTGGAGAGAAGATTTAGCGATTTTTATAACTAATTTAATGCAATTCTACTCATTTTGCCATGGGGCAGAGAGGAAAATGGGCTGTTTTACAGCTAATTCCCTGTAATTCTAAACATTGTGACATAGGGTGGATAGAAATGTTTGCAGTTAATGATATGATTGAGACTAACTAACTAAATGAAAGGGGGCCCCCGAGCCGGTAATTCCACCACGATAACAAGTTTACATAGTTGGCCACTAAACTAACTTGCCAATCTAAAAATGTTTAGCTGACATGGACTAATTGACTGACACAGCAAGAGAAACTGCTGATGCACAACCACATTTAGAAATTGCACCCTCTGTCGTAGCAGGCCGCGACCAGGAGACCCATGGGGCGGCGCACAATTGGCCCAGCGTCGTCCAGGGTAGGGGAGGGAATGGCCAGCAGGGATGTAGCTCAGTTGATAGAGCATGGTGTTTGCAACGCCAGGGTTGTGGGTTCGATTCCCATGGGGGGCCAGTATGAAAAAAAATTAAAATGTATGCACTCACTAACTGTAAGTCGCTCTGGATAAGAGCGTCTGCTAAATGACTAAAATGTAAATGTGTATTGTACTATTCTAACTCGTAACAGTAAGTTGAGACCCTGACTGAGTTCCCAATTATTATATTTATTTGGAAATTCATCCGAGGGCTGCCAGTTGGCCATCCCCTCCCTAGATAAAAGCTCAGCGAGAGAAGGTCTGACACGTCCCACTGAGGGGCTCATGCATTCCCCAGGCTCTCACTGCTCTATGCCACCACTAGATAAGGTTATAAGCACCTTACCGTTTGTCTGGGGAGGGTTGTGTGTGTGTGAGTTCATTGACAGAAAGAAGGATATGTGGCTGAACAGTGGTGTGTTTGTGTGTTGTTTACACTAGTGGGGAGAGGCTGGAGAAGGGGATAAGTACTGGTAAGTGCTATTTTCTGTGACCTGAACAACATGTAGAGGCCCCTTTGGAGTAGGGTAGGGCAGAGGACATTCTACCTCTGTAATCATTGACTAACACTGACCGATCAGTCATGTCTCAACATCACCTCCCCTTATGATGCAACTGGTCAGTAAACCAATCAATCAATAAGATCCATAGTTACAAAGTAAACAACTCCTGAAGTTAGCTTGCCCTTTCAACAACCTCATGCACAATTAGAATAATGATTCTAATGCTTGATATCATATCTCAGTATGAGGGTGAGAATCATTTTGCTTCCACCTCATTCAGCTGTTTCCGTCTTCAGATCAATCTGTTTAGCCTGCCCCTCTACAACCTGTTGTTTCTTAGCAATATGAATCTTAGTTTCAGTATGACTTATGAATTGTGAGTCAGTAGGCTATGTTGTATCTTGGTATCGGTATGATTTATGATGAATAGTGAGTCACATTGTAATAAGTGCTGCCTTCCTTGTGTGTTGTACTCTGGCCGGTATGATAGTCCCCAGGTAAACTCCTGGCCCTGGGTTGGTTCATGGGAGAGGTCTGATTAGTGCCTTAGTACTGATTGGCTCCTTCTCACTGAGCTCTCTGAGTCAGTGCCAATGCAGTTTGAACAACTCTTCTGTCACACAGTTTGGTTTAGTCTTTCTCTGCGATCCCTTTCTTTCTCTCTTTCATTCTTCATCCCCTTCAGTTGTTTATCTTTTATATTATATATATATATATATATATATATATATTTATATTATATTATTATATATATTTACATCATTTAGCAGACGCTCTTATCCAGAGCGACTTACAGTTAGTGAATACATATTTTTTTATACTGGCCCCTTTTCTCTCTTCCCTGTGGATAGGTAGGACTGTGCACTCGCTGCTTGGTCGACCACGGTAACTCGCCACCATGCCGTTCCCCTTTGGCAAGTCCCACAAGTCGCCGGCGGACATCGTCAAGAACCTGAAGGACAGCATGACGGTGTTGGAGAAACACGACATCTCTGACAAGAAGGCTGAGAAGGTAAACAACCAACACACACACACACACACACAAAGACAGGTACAGACGAGTATCTCCTAGGTACACCTCTCTCCCACTATGCTAACATGACTAGTGACCTCAGAGATTCTATGGAAGCTATGGAGTGGGGAATTTCAAACCCCTCCCTCTAAGAGTTTAAATTGACTACAGTGTAAGGCAGGGTACTCCAACCCTGTTCCTGGAGAGCTACCCTTCTGTAGGTTTTCGCGCCAACCCCAGCTGTAACTAACCTGATTCAGTTTATCAACCAGCTAGTTATTAGAATCAGGTGCGCTAGATTAGGGTTGGAGTGAAAACCTACAGGATGGTAGCTCTCCAGGAACAGGGTTGGAGAGCCCTGGTGGAAGGGGGGGGGGTACTTGTGTTTCGAGATTTACATGATGAAAAAATTGTGCCTTTCATGTTTGATAACTAGAGACGTCATTGTCAAAAACCTGTTGAGGGTTTAGTTTCCTTTCATATCAAGCCATTTCTAGACTGAAAATAGTGTATGATAGGATCATTTCAGGACGACATGGGATGGTGGGTGTGTGGGGGTTAGCTAGGTCATAGGAAACAGTATGGTGACTGATGGAGAGCTAGCTAATATTTATGTAAAGAGCTAATTTCATCTGTGTCTGTCTTTGCGCGTGTGTGTGTCCAGGCCACAGAAGAGGTGTCTAAGAGCCTGGTGGCGATGAAGGAGATTCTCTATGGTACCAATGAGAAGGAGCCCCAGACTGAGGCGGTGGCCCAGCTGGCTCAGGAGCTCTACAACAGCGGCCTGCTCAGCACCCTCGTAGCTGACCTGCAGCTCATCGACTTTGAGGTGAGACACTTTACACTGTGCATGTTTGTTTGTCTGTCTTTGAGACAGATGCAGAGATATGAGAGATTTATTTTGAGATGCTGACTAGAAAGGAGGGTATCTTTGGGACGGAGTGAGAGAGACAGATTTATGTGCATGTACAGAAAGAGACAAAAGACTGACTGTGTTCTGTCTCTTACTGGCACATGGACATGCTTTCACATGCTTTTTTGCTTACTGCAATACTTGCCCATTTTGTGTGTGTGTGGTGGTAGTAGGTGTGTGTAGGCTTCACTGAGTCACCTTATCAGCCTGAGTCAGTGTGATTCTCCTCTTTGACACGCTCAACCTCCACATCCTTCAGTGGGTCTGTGTCATTCTCACCCATCAGAAGAGACATATGTCTTGGCTATTCCTGCCTTGGGAAGGCTGAATTTGATAATAGGTTCAAAACAACTCAATGATACTAATTTGAAATGTGACGATTCACCAATGGTGTTAATAGGTGAATCTGTTTTATCACCATAACATGTATAAGAACATTGGATTCAGAAAAACTTCAGTATTAGAAGTTCAAAATAAGAGAACATTGTTTAGAAACTGCCGGAAACCATGTCTGTTTGAAATCTGACCCCTTGTGATTTCCACACCTTTCTAACATTATGATTTCTGTTCACCATCAGGGTAAGAAGGATGTGGCTCAGATTTTCAACAACATCCTGCGGCGTCAGATCGGGACGCGGACGCCCACGGTGGAGTACCTCTGCACTCAGCAGAACATCCTCTTCATGCTGCTCAAAGGGTGAGGCCTGGGGCGCCCAAACCTACACTACACCCTGTCATTTACAATGTTGGGGTGTAATGTTTTTGTGTTGGGTAATAAGTGGATACCTTTTTTTGTCAGTCAAGTTAAGCTTTATTTGAAGTAAATTACCACATTGTGTGAATACACTTTACAGAATGATTAAATAAATGGAAATAGAAAGATAAATACTGCAGAATTTGACAAACAGCAGATATCGTATTAATTAGAGACATTGACAATGCCCTATATCAGGGATCATCGACTAGATTCAGCCGCGGGATGATTTTTTTTCTTGAGGGGATGGTCCGGGGCCGGAACATAATTACAAATAATTTGTAGACTTCAAACTTTGCTTATATTTGTATACGATCACGTGTTTCTCTATTATGCGTGGGAATACATGGGAACAGATTTGTTAAATTAAAATCACTTGGAGCTGATTTCCTGCCGTTTTACAGTGTGTTATGTCCCCCCCCAAAATAAAATCACCTGTGGGCCAAATTTCTGCCTGCGGGCTTCCAGTTGGGGAACCCTGCCCTATATCCTATTTAAATATCCTGTCATTTACAATGTCGGGGGTTGTAGTGCGTGGTCTTTTGTCTAGGGTTGGGCGATATTACGATAGCATCGTGATGTGACAGACGATGGTTTAGCCTATTTGAACTTGACTGGTACCCCGCAGTAAAGAACAGAGTCTCGCAGGGCAGCACACAAGTGACATTCCGAGTAATTTTCCTATTCCTATTTGCTATAACCTACACTGCTCAAAAAAATTAAGGGAACACTTAAACAACACATCCTAGATCTGAATGAATGAAATAATCTTATTAAATACTTTTTTCTTTACATAGTTGAATGTGCTGACAACAAATCACACAAAAATTATCAATGGAAATCAAATTTATCAACCCATGGAGGTCTGGATTTGGAGTCACCCTCAAAATTAAAGTGGAAAACCACACTACAGGCTGATCCAACGTTGATGTAATGTCCTTAAAACAAGTCAAAATTAGGCTCAGTAGTGTATGTGTGGCCTCCACGTGCCTGTATGACCTCCCTACAACGCCCGGGCATGCTCCTGATGAGGTGGCGGATGGTCTCCTGAGGGATCTCCTCCCAGACCTGGACTAAAGCATCCGCCAACTCCTGGACAGTCTGTGGTGCAACGTGGCGTTGGTGGATGGAGTGAGACATGATGTCCCAGATGTGCTCAATTGGATTCAGGTCTGGGGAACGGGCGGGCCAGTCCATAGCATCAATGCCTTCCTCTTGCAGGAACTGCTGACACACTCCAGCCACATGAGGTCTAGCATTGTCTTGCATTAGGAGGAACCCAGGGCCAACCGCACCAGTATATGGTCTCACAAGGGGTCTGAGGATCTCATCTCGGTACCTAATGGCAGTCAGGCTACCTCTGGCGAGCACATGGAGGGCTGTGCGGCCCCCCATAGAAATGCCACCCCACACCATGACTGACCCACCGCCAAACCGGTCATGCTGGAGGATGTTGCAGTTCTCCACGGCGTCTCCAGACTCTGTCACGTGCTCAGTGTGAACCTGCTTTCATCTGTGAAGAGCACAGGGCGCCAGTGGCGAATTTGCCAATCTTGGTGTTCTCTGGCAAATGCCAAACGTCCTGCACGGTGTTGGGCTGTAAGCACAACCCCCACCTGTGGACGTCGGGCCCTCATACCACCCTCATGGAGTCTGTTTCTGACCGTTTGAGCAGACACATGCACATTTGTGGCCTGCTGGAGGTCATTTTGCAGGGCTCTGGCAGTGCTCCTCCTGCTCCTCCTTGCACAAAGGTGGAGGTAGCAGTCCTGCTGCTGGGTTGTTGCCCTCCTACGGCCTCCTCCAAGTCTCCTGATGTACTGGCCTGTCTCCTGGTAGCGCCTCCATGCTCTGGACACTACGCTGACAGACACAGCAAACCTTCTTGCCACAGCTCGCATTGATGTGCCATCCTGGATGAGCTGCACTACCTGAGCCACTTGTGTGGGTTGTAGACTCCGTCTCATGCTACCACTAGAGTGAAAGCACCGCCAGCATTCAAAAGTGACCAAAACATCAGCAAGGAAGCATAGGAACTGAGAAGTGGTCTGTGGTCACCACCTGCAAAACCAGTCCTTTATTGGGGGTGTCTTGCTAATTGCCTATAATTTCCACCTGTTGTCTATTCCATTTGCACAACAGCATGTGAAATGTATTGTCAATCAGTGTTGCTTCCTAAGTGGACAGTTTGATTTCACAGAAGTGTGATTGACTTGGAGTTACATTGTGTTGTTTAAGTGTTCCCTTTATTTTTTTGAGCAGTGTATTTCAATAAATATGTGATACAGAACGCAGGAGGGGAATGTAGGCCAGACAGGATAATAGTTTTTAAAATACTGGACACTCCTTAACCATCTTGTGTTTAGTTGTTTAAAAAAAAACGTAGCTTGTTTTCCCTTCTCTCTCCATTCGATAGGCTATATGAATATGACCAATGTTTTATGCATGGCTTTCTCCTGATCAAACAATGAATGAAAAGGAGTTCCATCTCAAAAAGTAATTTTAATAGCCTAAAAACATAAGTTAGCCAGCAGACTAATAATGAGGGAGAACAAACCATATCAATAGCCTATAGAAAATCGAATGACCAGTTTAATCAAGTTTAAGCTTATTAAGAAAGAAATGATCAATGCGGACCGTGAAAATCCCTCCAAGCGATGTTGAAAACCAAATGGCCAATAACCTATCCTTATTCCTCCTACTGGCCTTTCATAAAAGCTTTACGACAAGTTAAAGTTATGAACATTCACTTATTTCCCCAAATATTCTAGCCTAATGAAGGTGTTGTCCTAAAGTTTTGGCTTTCAAAAATAACAATTGTCAATCACAGCTTTATGATAGAACAAATAATGCAACAAATATTGTGGTTAAACTCAAATATACTAATTGATAAAAAAAAACAGTTATTTTTTGACATTTTTTGTTTTTTTTAAAGGTATAATCTTTGTAAAATATATCATAGGTAGGACTGGTGGAGTTATGTCGCACATGCAGCTAACAAAAACATATAAAAATGTCTGCTCTACCCAAAATTACAACCAAATAATTGCAGCATTACCACAAAAGTGGAAGGGGGGAAAAAGTAAGGAACTTGTCTGTCGGCCCTGCATTAAAGAACATAATTGGTTAAAGAAAATTGTGATAAATAAAAAAGTATACCAGTTTCATTTAAGGACCAAAGGATTGATAGCTGTCCCATATAGATTGCAAAATAGTTGGGAAGAGATTTTTGACGTACCGATTCCATGGCAAAGTGTTTATGAACTGATAGTCAAAACAACGCTGGATTCAAAACTTCTAATTGTTCTATTTAAATTATTATACAAAATTCTTGCTACCAATAGAATGTTATTTATATGGCGGATACAATCTTCCCAGCTCTGCAGATTTTGCTGCGAAGAGACAGAATCATTAGATCATTTGTTTTGGTACTGTCCATTTCTAGCTTGTTTTTGGACACAGGTTCAGGAATGGCTAAAGGATTGCAATATTTACCTGGAGCTGACACTGCAGATAGCACTACTGGGTGATCTGAAAAGTCATAGTCAATCGATCAATAATATAATAATACTTTTAGCAAAAATGTTTATTTTTACAATCTGTAGAAACAATGAGAATAGAAGGGTTCAGAACTTTTGTAAAACATCATGAAAATGATCAGAGAGGTTGAGGAAGTCCAGGAGTAAAAACAAACAAAATATAATTATTGTAAAATTGACTGTGTCCATCAAATGTATATAGTATGTATAAGCTGGAAGTAGAGGCCAAAGCATTGTTGTTCACTAGTTTACTCCAATTAGGGAAGGGGTGGTGGGGTTGGAAAGTAATAAAGGGAAATATATTTTTTTAAAGGATATGTGTATATATATATATATGTATTTATATGTATGTGTTTGTATGTATATGATAGGACAAAGGTGGACGTCGCCCAACCCTATTTGCGTCGTAATAACTGGATACCTCCTTCCTATTCCAATGTCCTCCTGGCAGGTACGAGTCTCCAGAGATCGCTCTGAACTGTGGCATCATGCTGAGGGAGTGTATCAGGCACGAGCCACTGGCCAAGATCACCCTGGGGGCCGAGCAGTTCTACGACTTCTTCAGATACGTGGAGATGTCCACGTTCGACATCGCCTCAGACGCATTCGCAACTTTTAAAGTGAGTTTTTGAAAAGAAGTGTGTTTTTTCTCAGACCTGTATCTCTAGGACCATGGGTTTCTTGGGGCCTAGATAGAGGGCCTGTACTTTTCAGCTCATTGGTTAAAATACCTGTGTGTTCTTCTTCCAGGACTTGCTAACGAGACACAAGATTCTGAGTGCGGAGTTCCTGGAGCAGCATTACGACAGGGTAAGTCCTCCACATTGTTGAAATGTAACCCGGTAAGAACACATCTCCATGATGCGTTTCTTCCAATGATCCTTTCTCTGAATAGCAACCTGTCACTGTTAATGGAGCTTTTTAAGACGGTCTGAAGTCACTCCAGGACAAGCTGAGTTTATTTGTGCTAAACCCCCGCCTGACTGAGAACCATGAAAAGTATACCAGGGAATATGGAAATTAACTTGAGAAGTGGGAGCTCAGTACTCAGCAACTGTTTTTCTCCTAACATAAAAGCTAGGCATTTGACATGATGTGACTGTTCTGAATACAAGGCAGCTGCCTGTCTGTCAGTGTGGGAAAATCACTAGTTGGCTTGTCACCGAGTTTGCAAACAAGCAGATGCACTCTGAAATAGTGGCTTGACATTCACTCAGATGGTTATCTTTCTCCTCCCCTCCCTCCAGTTCTTCAGTGAATATGAGAAGTTACTCCACTCAGAGAACTACGTGACTAAAAGGCAATCCCTCAAGGTAAGAATGTGGGTCCTGTTCCTGTTGTAGTAAACAGCTCTCATGTAGTATTTGTATGTATGTGTTTTTAATGGCTAAATATAGATGAGGTGGTCTCTTACATGGTGTTTGGTTACTGAAAATATAACCAAGCAGCAAGCTGACTGATGTAGCGCCAACCTGTGCCTGGAGTAGGTTTTAGATACGTTTCATCTGCCTGGTAACGTCCTCCCCTATTTTTGCCAATGCGTAGCAGTATGTTCACTTTGCCTTGTATAAACCCAACTATAATGATTTATATCTATTTACATCGTTTTAGTGGAATCTTATGGTTCAAACATGGCATTAAATAAATGATTACTTTTTCACCTACCCCAGACTGTAATTGCAATTAATACTTTGTTTTTTGTCACTCTGAAACAATCTAGTTGCTGGGAGAGCTTCTTCTCGATCGACACAATTTCACCATCATGACGAAATACATCAGCAAGCCAGAGAACCTCAAGCTAATGATGAACCTTCTTCGAGACAAAAGCCGCAACATCCAGTTTGAGGCCTTCCATGTCTTCAAGGTAAAAGGAAAAACGAGAGACTAGCACAAGGCTATAGCAGGCGGTGCAATTTGTCTTTGAGTTTAGTTGGATTGTAAAAATAATTTATCCTATTCCTTCCCATGTAGGTGTTTGTGGCCAACCCCAACAAGACACAGCCCATCTTGGACATTCTTCTGAAGAACCAGACCAAACTCATTGAGTTCCTCTCCAAGTTCCAGAACGACAGGACGGAGGACGAACAGTTCAACGATGAAAAGACGTACCTGGTCAAACAGATCAGAGATCTGAAGAGGCCGGCCCCCCAGGAGGCCTGAGGGAGGGGCTTAAGGGGTCCAGACAACATTTGGATAACAGACTCATCAGTAGCTGCTGCTGTTCTGGTTTTTCAACCATTTGAAAAAAAATAACGCGCCCACATCAAGTCATCAGGAACTCTCCAGTTCATTCTGCTGTTCGACGCAACGGACATTTTGATATTTTTTCTTCCTTTTTTTTTCCCTCCAGTTTCTCCTTTAAAAAGATAAGAGATTAACATAAAATATGCTGCTGCTTTCTTGCACATTAAGACATGTGGAAGGGTAACATCAACAACACAACAAAGGTCATTCAAACAAATAGTAACAACGAAATCTACTACATTTGAGCGCTATGCAGACTTCTGACACACGCGCACACACACACATATAATGATATAATATCAGCATAAACCTTGAGATGAAAGGTACTGGCAAAGTGAACATTGGAGTGTTGGTTGCATGCCTTGTTGAAATGTGACATCCATGGCTATACTTGAGGCTAAACGCTGGCTGAGAGATGACATGTCCAGTCTACTTACAGTGCCACAGACGGCAAAAAGCACATGCATCGCAGTACCAGCTCCAACTCTTACCTATGCCTTCATCGTGTACTGCAGCAACAGTGATGCATTTTTAAAATGGGCTCTCCGATGGCCTCACGCCGACCCATGCAGCTATTGGTGTGTTGTGAAACAGCACAGAGCGGATGGTATGGATAAAATGCTAGATATTATTTAGGTACAGGCCTGAATTGGGTTTGTTTTTTGTTTTGGGACAGGGTGAACGTGTACATATGCCTTTTTGTTTTTTTTGCTTTGTAGATTTTGTTGAAACATTGACACATGGATATATATTATATATATTTGACCTTAAACATCAAGTTTTTCGTTAATGCTAATCAAAATAATTTTTAAAACAGTGGAAGAGGAAAAATATCAGACATTTTGCGTTTCATTTTACTGCTGAATTGAAATGATGTCTGGTTTTTCTTTGTACATAACTTCCAGCCAGGGCCAGCTCTTACGTTGTTAACCTAGAGGACATTAATAATAATTAGTACAGCTGAGGAATGTCATGGTATTAGCCCGGATCTCTTCTTAATCCTCTGTTTTTTCGTCTGTATTTAAGTAACTCAGACAACTAAAATATGCTGGGGTGCCAGGACAGTGGGGTGGAGGGGAGGCCGGGATGGGATGTGGCAGAGTGCTAATGGAAACATAAAGTTTGTGATGAGCAGCCAGCCAGTGGTCGCGTTCCCCTGCTCAGACGTTGCATGCATCAACCAATGGTTGCGTGCCACGTCATCGACTGTCATTGACTGACAGATTGCTATAACATATGATGTGTTTAGCTGATATGTAAAATATAAATCCAGGCGTTTGTAAGATCTGGCAGGCTTCAGCAAAGCCTGGGCAGAGGAACACGCCCTTCATCTCCCAACTGGAATCTGATCCGGGGGTTGGTGGGGATTTCAGGGAATCGCAACATTCTCCCCCCCACTCATCCACTCTGGTTTATTATTATATTCTAATTTCACCGCTTTCTGGTGGTGTAGGGGTGTTTCAACATATCTAGTGCGCTTCAGGAGTTGACAGTTACTTGGCACATTGTCATTTTTCCCCCATTTACCCCCCCCCCCCCCCCCCCCCCCATGTTTGAGCCTTTTTCATTGTGGTTAAAATTCCAGTACAATTCCAGAGCATTATGTATGTTCTTTGGAGATTGTTTACTTTACACTGACTGAGCAAATCTGCCATTTGAAACGCAGTATTTATTTGAGGGATGGAGTTGATTGGATGATATGAATATCTTGCATATATACCACTCAACTGACATGTTTACTTGCAGTGAAGGATATGGTCAGAGAGTGATGTTGAGCCAAGTGCTTTTGACTGAAAGCTCATCCATTTATCCCAATAGACGACTGATCAGCCATTTCATTGTGCAAACCAACAGAGAACAGTACGCTAAAGACCAGTATTCCTCAATGCATATTTAAATCGCATGTTCCTCTACTGCCTGCATGGTACTCTCTACAAACAATGTTGTACTGGAATTTTCTTCCCAAAAAATAATGAATGAACATTTGAGATAGCCAAATCTCATGCTATGTCTGACCTCTAACCTTTGACTCCAGTCCCAGCACATTGTGTGCGTGAGTGCTTTCAGAAGTGTCAAAAAGGCTTTGCCCCTATGATCTAAACAGAAATAAAAGAAAAACATTTGGAATAAACTGAACCTGTGATCAAAATGTTATTTGTCTCCGATTGTCCTTTCCTGTATCTGTCTCTGCTGAATGTCTGGAAGAGTAAAATAAATAAAAAATCTAGGATTCAAGCACACTCCTTTTATGGCATATATCCTGGCTGTTGGAGATGTGGGTATTATTTGGCTATGGATAATTGACTATTGTAGCCTTTCCCTTTTATAAACACAATGTGCTAATCAGTCCCTCCTTCCTCTCCTCTCTTTTGAGAACGGTACTCTTCACACACTACTCATCATGATGTAGGTGTAGACGTACCTCTTTAAGTGCCTGTGCCTTTAAGTGGGCTTTTTAAACAATTACATCAAACTTCCGGTAGATTGAGACAAAGGTGCTTGTGGGGAAGAAAATCACAAGTCATGTCCCTGGAGGGGAACATGATTATGGTGAATGTGGGAACAATGTCAAGGTTAAATGTTGTAATTGTGTGTTGGGGGAGACACAGTGCAGCATTTGGTGGATACTATGTGCAGATAGAGGCTAGAGAGGCACAAAGATATAAAATCACTCATAATGTCTCTTATGCAGATTGGTGGAACTATTAGGCAGAATGATGGAGCTAATAGGGTAACTCCTGGAATAAGTGGACCTGCTGTAGGAAATGTTGCTTATGTTGGTCCAGACACTGATACGAGACCTGTTCAGAAATCTTGCTCTCACAAATGTGTCATTTGGACACCTTAATAGTTAATCAGACTGATTTTATAGCATTCATGGGAAAGGTTATCAACCTGACTGCATTTGTGGAAAGAAGAACTGCCAAATTGAAGATCATTGTGGAAGCAGCAACTGAGTTTATAGGAGTAACAGATGTTACTGTCGCCATGATTGTTGATATGTTGACTCCTAATAATACTAATGATGGAATGTCTCAGTATGATGATAATTAGAGTTATGGTTTTTGTTATAATAATATAATAATATGCCATTTAGCAGACGCTTTTATCCAAAGCGACTTACAGTCATGTGTGCATACATTTTTACGTATGGGTGGTCCCGGGGATCGAACCCACTACCCTGGCGTTACAAGCGCCATGCTCTACCAATTGAGCTACAGAGGACCACGTGGAATGCCAGAAGCCTTATTGCTAACGGTCAGGAGTTTTAAGAAATGTGTAATAGATTTAGAGATCAAACCTGATGTGATATGTGTTCAAGAAACATGGCTTAGACCACATCTTGATTTTTTTATTCATGGTTATTTTTCAATCAGATCTGATAGATGAACTGGACAGGGTGGTGGGTGAGCTACGTTCATAAGGGAAGGTCTTGTATATCGTAATTAAACTATCCCATCTGAATATGAATGTGTGAGGGTGGAAATCTACAGTGCAGGTAGTAATATTAAGTTACACCATTTTTACAACACTTGTCAACTATCTGTAGCGATGTTTGATGAAAAATCAGGAGCGTTGGGCTCTAGAGAGATATGGTGCAGCGACTTTAATGCACATAATAGTTTATGGGGAAGCACACATACAGATGCTAATGGTACTATTGTGGAAAATATGATGGAAACAAGCATTAGTATGTCTTAACAATGGATGTGGCACAAGAGTTGATGTTGTTATAGGGGTTACATCCTGCCTGGACCTCACGATTGTATCTATGTGTGAATGGAATGAATGATTCTACTGTTGGAAATGATCATTTCCCAAATTCGTGTACCATGAACTTTGATGTTACTATTCCAGATAGGGTACCATTCAGAAGATGGTGCTTTCATAAAGCAGACTGGGGAAAGTTTGGTCATCATTGCTTAAAGTCTGTTGGACAGTTGTCTTTAGAGAGGCTGGTTGATGTATGTGCTGCCTCTGATTTTGGGTGCTGCGAATGTATATGTACCAGAGAGTGAAGTGGGTGAGAAAAGGAAGGTGGTTCCTTGGTGGACTGAAGAGTGCACTGCGGCTATTCGAGAAAGAAATACCCTATGCTTTGACTTCTTTCTCCCCTCTCTCTCTCCAGATGAAATCTTGCGACTTGTGACGGCCGGCTGCCCAACAACCTGCCCGCTTGACCCTATCCCCTCCTCTCTTCTCCAGACCATTTCCGGAGACCTTCTCCCTTACCTCACCTCGCTCATCAAATCATTGACCGCTGGCTATGTCCCTTCCGTCTTCAAGAGGGCGAGAGTTGCACCCCTCCTCAAAAAACCTACACTCGATCCCTCCGATGTCAACAACTACAGACCAGTATCCCTTCTTTCTTTTCTCTGCAAAACTCTTGAGCGTGCCGTCTCTAGCGAACTCTCCTGCTATCTCTATCAGAATGACCTTCTTGATCCTAACCAGTCAGGTTTCAAGACTGGTCATTCAACTGAGACTGCTCTTCTCTGTGTCACGTAGGCTCTCCACACTGCCAAAGCTAACTCTCTCTCCTCTGCTCTTATCCTTCTAGACCTATCTGCTGCCTTTGATACTGTGAACCATCAGATCCTCCTCTCCACCCTCTCCGAGTTGGGCATCTCCGGCGCTGCTCACTCTTGGATTGCGTCCTACCTGACAGGTCGCTCCTACCAGGTGGCATGGCGAGAATCTGTCTCCGCACCACGTGCTCTCACCACTGGTGTCCCCCAGGGCTCAGTCTAGGCCCTCTCCTATTCTCTCTATACACCAAGTCACTTGGCTCTGTCATATCCTCACATGGTCTCTCCTATCATTGCTACGCAGACGACACACTCTCCTTTCCCCCTTCTGATAACCAGGTGGCGAATCGCATCTCTGCATGTCTGGCAGACATATAATTTACATTGCATTTACATTTAAGTCATTTAGCAGACGCTCTTATCCAGAGCGACTTACAGTTAGTATCAGTGTGGATGTCGGATCAACACCTCAAGCTGAACCTCGGCAAGACGGAGCTGCTCTTCCTCCCGGGGAAGGACTGCCCGCTCCATGATCTCGCCATCACGGTTGACAACTCCATTGTGTCCTCCTCCCAGAGTGCAAAGAACCTTGGCGTGACCCTGGACAACACCCTGTTGTTCTCTGCTAACATCAAAGCGGTAACCCGATCCTGCAGGTTCATGATCTACAACATTCGCAGAGTACGACCCTACCTTACACAGAAAGCGGCACAGGTCCTAATCCAGGCACTTGTCATCTCCCGTCTGAATTACTGCAACTCGCTGTTGGCTGGGCTCCCTGCCTGTGCCATTAAACCCCTGCAACTTATCCAGAACGCTGCAGCCCGTCTGGTGTTCAACCTTCCCAAGTTCTCTCACGTCACCCCGCTCCTCCGCACACTCCACTGGCTTCCAGTTGAAGCTCGCATCTACTACAAAACCATGGTGCTTGCATACGGAGCTGTGAGGGGAACGGCACCTCCTTACCTTCAGGCTCTGATCAGACCCTACACCCAAATGAAGGCACTACGTTCATCCACCTCTGGCCTGCTAGCCCCCCTACCTCTACGGAAGCACAGTTCCCGCTCAGCCCAGTCAAAGCTATTCGCTGCTCTGGCACCCCAATGGTGGAACAAGCTCCCCCACGACGCCAGGACAGAGGAGTCACTGACCACCTTCCGGAGACACTTGAAACCCTACCTCTTTAAGGAATACCTGGAATAGTATAATAGTAATCCTTCTACCCCCCCCTTTACTACCACTGTCTTGTGTCTAAACTATCACCTGACTTATTTCACCTGCTAGCACTGACTTGTTTAAAGAAGTGTACTTACTGTGATCAAGATGTGGTTGTCCCACAGGCTATCCTAAGTTGAATGCACCAATTGGTAAGTCGCTCTGGATAAGAGCGTCTGCTAAATGACTTAAATGTAAATGTAAATGAAATAGGGCTTACAGAGTGTTGCGTAGGAATATGACTCCTGAGAATCTAGTTGATTTCCAAAAGAAGAGAGCTTTAGTACGGAGGGTCATTAAGTCTGTCAAGAGAAATGCATGGAGACTGTTCTGCTCTACAATAGGCAGGGGTACTGAGCTGGGGGATGTACAGTGAGAGAAAATAGTATTTGATCCCCTGCTGATTTTGTATGTTTGCCCACTGACAAAGAAATTAATTTGTTATTTTATTTTTATTATTTGAAAAAATTATCAGTCTATAATTTTAATGGTAGGTTTATTTGAACAGTGAGAGACAGAATAACAACAAAAATATCCAGAAGAACACA